AAGTATCTCGAGCTGCAAAATATAAACAAGCCTTATATGTACACATAAAGTAATAATAGGGGCGGGTCAGCTTGGAGGGGGCATTTCGCTTTTTTGCTAGTTGCATCGGTTGTTTCATTGTAACTATCAAGTCTCACTTTGGTCAGACCTGTTATTGTTGCGAAATTGTTCCAAGTGATCTTTCTTCACAGGAATTTACAGGTTTTCACACGTTCACGTAAACGTACGTGTGCGTTCACACTTTGCGGCAGCGTTTCGAGCGACAAGGAAAGTTAGCTATCAATCAAGAGTTTTGAGCGTCCGCCTGCGTTATCAACAGTAGTCGCTCAAAACGCTGACGCAAGTAATGCGCCCACCCCAAGCCGAGCTGTACTTATGTGGAAAACACTGTCGGCATATGAAAAGGACAACTTAGAACATTCTGAAAAAAGAAAACATCACTCACCATCCCCATCGTACGGCAACGGCCGGTGCAAGAAAATAGTAGATCGGAAGAGTACAAATAACGATCAACGACCAAGCTATCGCTGACGGCAGCAACTGGCCAAGCCGCTTGCACATCCTGAAATGGGTGAAATTGAGTTTCTACAAAGAAAACAAATGCTTCCAGAATTCCTCGAAAACGCCCTAAAAATCGACAACGCAGAGAAAAAAAAGCTGGAAAAACCTCTTCGTTAACGACAAGTCCGACAACAAGCCAGCGTGGGATATCTCGTGGCGCGATGAGCGCGAGAAATTCGATGTTCAGCAGCACTTCAAAAAAAGAAGAGTAATGACACACATCTCGTCTCGTTAGGGAAGTATTTACCACACGAAAAAGGATATGAGGTTAGCCAGCTCATACATAAACGGCGGCATAATGAACCCCCAGAGCAGAATAGTGGGCGATTAGAACCAACATATTGGGGTGCAGTGTAAAAGCTTCGCTATTACACTAAAATGAATATTATAAAGAGCTTTGTACGACAATATGAACACATGTAGAGACATAACTTGTCACACAATAATCTTCTTGAACCCCGAAGAAATTCCGCAGTTTTCCCCCGAGAAAATAACAATAGGCCGGACGCAGTTCGGCGACTCTGGGGGGGGGGGGTGCATTTTGCACTTTTGCAACTTCCCACCAACGTGTCAAGCCATATAGAGCTATTTCATCCGCTTACAAGACTTGACAGGTTATATTACGGTGGCGACGAGCTTGCTCCAGCTTCACAAGAGTTCACAGGTCTCACCAGAGGGAGGCAAAATGCCCCCTCCCCCTCATCCTCGAACTGAGCCAAATACCTTTAGACTGGGGGGAAGGGTAATTAGCGACCCCTAAGCAGAAAAAAAATATAACAGTCAACAACCGCTATTATTTTACTCAGAAGCAAATAAGACCCCTCGCTGGAGATCCCCAGCGAACGACGTGCCCTGCCAATGATTCTCCTGAAAAACCCGCCTCGAGAATTGTGAAATGGACGCCATCCACTCAATGAGAGGGGCATTTCAAAATCGAAAAGTAATGAAAGCTCCAACGTCAGGAGAAAAAAAGCACCGCTCAATTCTATGAAAAGGGTAGACCGTAAACTCCGAAAAAGTGTCACAGTAGGAAACATGAAGACACATTCCTTGACAACAAGAGATGGGCAATTGCAGAAATATGAGTTTGTAGGGGCAGACTAATCAACAGGTAAAGGAAAGAGAAGAAAATACTGCTAAAAGGGTCCCAAACAAGGCCACTTTTAGCGTTGGGCGACCATGACGGGAAGGGGCAGGTGCTCAGCAAAAGACCAGACAAGCGCGAGCGAGAGCCTATATGGC